TGATTACTCTGCCTGGCTTTCTCAAGGACCAGGATGTGACACAAAAATCTGAATTATGGAACTGAAAGTGAAAGTAGTCAAACTGAATTTTTAATAAACAAAAATACAGTTTCAAAGCAAATTAATTCAGATACAAAACTTTAAATTCGGTTTCAATTTAGTGAATTTTATTTTCAAACCAATTCATTCAATTTCAGATTACGCACATTCAGATTCAATCTGAGCAATTCTAATTCAATTCCTGCTGACACAAGATTTATAACATACAAAATGAGTTGTCACCAATAGTGAATGTTGATGGTTTAGATAAAAACATGTACGTGTATCACATAGTAGATAAGTCAGAAAAAAATCCCAGAATATGTGTGTGAGCTTCCACCACACAATATCATAGGCCAAATATCTGTAAAATACATGCTTTAAAATTAAGTTATTTTTATTATCAAACCTTTAACTGTGTGTGTAATCCCTCACTGGCTAACTGCAAATGTAATAATGTTTATAAGAAGAGAAGCTGTTCATGGGATAATTGCTCAGCCAAGTGAGCATTTATCTCGCATCTTTTGTTTCAGTACCCAAACAGTTTTCCTTCAAGATGCATTTGTATTTCCTTATTTCAAACCTCATTAAAATATAAAATAAAATTATCTGCTTGCATAGTCAATGCTTTTTGTTTTTGCTTAAGTTTCTATGTAAAAACGCACCACATACTGAGAAATACAACAACTAAAGCTGTTATCGGGTCACCAGGACTTATTGGAATATTGGAAAATAACAAGTAAAGATCTGATGATGCATCTTGCTTTTAAGACTTTACTTTTTGCCTAATAAAGACGTTAAATCAAATTTTAATCAGTCAGCTCACTGATTCACTTTCCTCTGAGTCACCAATCAAGCCAAAGAAAGAGGAAAGTGTGCAGACAAACACGGTGAGCGCAATTAATTCATGTGTAGAAAAGAAAATCAGAGCCATTTAACAGCCAGACCATCAAATTATCTTGGTGCTGTGCTAATATTGAGTTGTTGTTTTTAATCTCGGCTGTAGCTACAGAGATTTATCTGTGTTGGTATCAAATGTTCAATTTAAACTCAAACCTTTAGCTGATCGGAGTGTTGTCTTGGTTTTTGCTCCTTACAACTGCTGTATTTTTATCCATCACTGCTGAAGGGATGATGTTTTTGCCTGTGTCTGTCCTTTACTAAACCAAATTTCACAGACACTTGCAGAATGTTCTCACCACACATGCCTCTGCTATTTAACTTTTGGCAGCAACCAGATGCAAGAAGGCTGCCACAGAACGCTGACCTTAAAAACACAAAAACGGCTCCAACTCAGTTATTTTTACAGATATTGAAATAAAACATGGTATGCTAGTAGATGAGTCTGATCCACGACCTACATTCAGAAACCTGTTTGGAGTCATCTCTGTGTGTGTTAGCAAAATATCTCAAACCACTGGATGCATTATAATGAAGAAATAATCACTGGATATAGAACTTCAATTGATTCAATTTCAGTGTCAATCCAATTCAAGATGGCAGCCATAGCCAACTGACATAATAAAATACAAATCTATTTATAATTTAGTCAATTTTAAAGGTATTGTGCAAGTATTTGATGTGGTTGTAGCAGAGAATTATTCACAACACATACCCAAGTGCCACTAATTGGACTTTTTTTTTGCTGAAAACTTTAATTTTAGCTGTTGGAGCCAACTCTGTCTGTTAGCAAAGCAAACTTTAGGAAAATACTCAATGGATGTAGATCTACAACAGATTACCTTTTGTCAACCTCATTCAAAAATGGCTGTCACATACATCTATTTTGTGAATGATATCAAGCATTCACACAATTGGGACAACCATTTTTCTTCAGTACATTTTTCAGTATCTACGTAACTCCTTCTAAGTTTTTGAGCCATTTCAACAACGCAAAAAAGGATGCTCAATCAAAATTAAAACGTTCAGCTCATTAACGCCATGGGTGATATGACTTTTGGTAATACAGCAACTTATAATTTTTCAGCTATTTAGTTTTTCAGACTCTTTTTTCAAATTGAAAATGGAGTTATGTTCAACATCTTCTTAAAGTCTCTAAATAATACATACTGTACTTTTATCTTTTGTTCTGGTTCAGCTTTTATTTGTTTTTATACTTCTGTGTGCAAATTTCTGCACTTATCTTTATTTTTTTAGGCTTCAACCAGCTTCTTTCTGCTATTTTATGCTTCTTAGACAATTTATTTCTACCTTTTTAGCTAATTTGAGTTTTTTCATCTAAATCTACTTTTTTGTGATAATTTCAGCTTCTTACTGCTTAATAGGGCTGCCACGATTAATCAATTAATCGACGACTAATTGATTATTAAAATAATCTATGACTAATCTAATAATCAATCGTTTTTTTTTTGTTGTTGTTCTTTTACTTTGTTTTTCTCTCCAAACTACTTTGACTCCTTCCACTGCCACATCTGCCTTTCTGTCCTTGACACACATGCACAGTAGTGGTAACTGGGGTAGGCCGTGGACGTCACAAGACATTATACAGACAG